GATGATGATGATGATGATGATGATGATGATGATGATGATGATGATGATTCAGTTGCAGGCCTTTCTACTACTGTACCTCTACCTCCTCTCCTTCGAAGAATTACTGGCAACTCCTGACTCTCCTGACCGTGCTGCCTGACCAGATGATGACCATGATGACCCGTGGTGATGACGCGAGGACAACAAGAGAGTTCCATTGAGAATTCTGGAACTCCAGGGCTAACTCTTAAAAGGAGTTTGGCTAATTGTTCAAGATCTGCATGCAAACCTGAGTCTTCATTCTTGAGCCATGGGCCATAGCCAACTTCCTGGAAACAAAGCTTGAACTTCCTTAACCTTGAACGCTGCCCAAAGCCTCCGCAAGGTCTGAACAAATATAGTTTCTTCGAGGTAAGGGTGCCCCTATCAGAGATTCTGGAGAGTGTAATCTTTGCTCATAATCATGTGCCAAATTGAGCTCAGCCAACATGTATATATAAAGAAAAACAAACACACAAACAAACATTCAAACAAAACCCATCACGCTCCCTCCACTCCAACATGGCATCATGGACGAAAAAGAAATGGTTGAAGTTGGAGGATACCCAATTCCCATCCAATTGGGTTTAGGGTTTAGAGTTTATTCCCATCCAATTCCCCAAATTCTATTCTCACTTCCTTCGTTCGGTGCCTCGGTACCTTCGTTGAGCGCGACCATGCTAATGGTGATCCAGAAGGACCAGAAGCCGCTCCAATAAACCAACCTGGCCATGTAAGAAGTACGGTGAATCGGAAGAAACCGAGGAAGGCGTGTAGGTGAATTTGGTCAGTATGGCCGTGTTTCACCTGTGGCGGATGCAGGTGCGGATGTCAACCGTGGAAGCTTTAAGAAATGAAGGTCAAACGATCTCTTCCGGCACCATGAGAGATTCAATCATAGACTCAGTCATAGACTCATAATGCTTCTTTCAAACAAGCAAAACTCACCGGTTGCCGTGAGTTAGTCGAACATGAAACCTGGCCCCCTCGCCATTGAGTTTCAAAACGCTTGCCCATCAGTTACTTTAAACACCCTGTGTGTGTAAAACCTATAAGTACTATAAGTACGCTTAAAGCATCTGCAATCTGGGAAATGATTTAAAGACTTAGCTGTTAGAAGTTAGTGACTACTGTTGATACTAACAACGTTATAAGTGTAAACATGATGACATCATAATCAAACATGATGTTTAAAGCATCTTCAACCCGGGATTGGTTGGCTTCAGATCTCGGAGTGTCGCACGTAATCACATCGCTGACTATCGTCCCTGGTCAACGCGGCGGACCTCATGGGCGAGACACTGATGGTCAAAAGGTCCTGGGCAGGGGAAGCTCATTCTCCAAGTGGGGATCTGTGTTTGGAGAGTTGCTCATATTCTGTCCTAAAGTATGTCCCTAGCTGTTGGTGAAAGCGAGGTGCAAATTGTCCCACCACTCTTGAACAAAAGCTTCGAATTCTTATTGCGCGGAAGCTTCAGGGAACCTCGTTCACAAGCATGCACAAGCACAGCATTGCTTTGTTCTCTCCTAGGAAAGCTATGTTGTAAAGAAGAATACCACAAGAAGTACCACAAGATACCAAAAGCATCCAAAAGCTACAACTCGACTTTGCTATGGATCCGGCCAATCCTCAGAAGGAACATGACAGAACTCACGCTCCAAATCAACTGAAAGCCTCCAAACCAGCGGAGCTCTGGAAGCATATGAATCCCTCAGGTTACACAAACGAATGAAATCCAGTTAAGAACCTCCACGACTTGATTGATTTCGGCCACAAACACAACGATCTATGGGCCATGTTGGGCCATTCCATTTGAGGGAATGAGCTCTTTATTCCGCTCCATTGGAGCTGCTCCAACCACGCCCGAAGCCCCGAAGCCGCCCAACGATTCCGCCGCTGCCCAGGGCACGTGCTGCCAGACGCCTTTCATGGCCCCTGGGTTCTTCGCCAGGGAATCGGAGAATGACGAACGAAACCAGGTGCAACACCATGGAATCGGAGACCGTCCAAGACCCGTGATGAGCGTTTCTCCTTCTATCAGGATTCAACAGGGTTTTCCCAGACACAGGGTAAACCTGGAGTCAGTGAGCAGAACTACTCAATGGCATGTACGGCCGGAGGTTGATTAGAGGGGATACCCTTCGTCCTGAGCAACCGTTCGTTCGGTCGTCCGTTCGTACCTGGCATCGACCTCTCTATTTGTCCCAAGAGGACATGATAGGGATTCTATGTGGATTGATTGTAAGATGTGGTAAGGATGGGTAAGGCAATGAAGAGCCAACAAAACCCAAAATGATTACTCAAGCATGCCATTTTATTGTTTTCATGTTCTGACATCATAGAGCTTTCGTCATCGTGCATATCCTGCACACTCCTACTGACCCACATGGACATGGTAGATGACCCTGACTGACCACAGGCCGCTTCCAGTGAGCCACACTGACCCTGTCGAAAGCGAGAGCGACATGGAAAGTGCCAGACATCGACGTCTTGCCATGCTCAAACAAGGGTATTCAGATGCATGGTGTTAGTTTATGGCTATGGACTCTATATACAACCAAACTATTTTCTTGGGGCATGGCGACATTCTGAGTGGTTAGAAAGAGCAACTCCGTTGCCATGCCCAGCGGACCCAAAAGACTTGGTGTGGCTGAAAAACTCCACAAAGAACATCACATTGTTCACCCCAGTTGTTCTCCGACTTCCAAGCCTCCACAGCTTCTGTTCTTCCAGGATTCATTCATTCTATGACCCAACTCCCCAACCTCCCGGACGTCCGAGCCCCTCCGTCTGGGTCGTGGCACGCAGTAAGGCTGCCATGCTGGCGAAGACCAAGGCTAGAACCGAGGCGGTCTGAGCGTTTCGAGTCCGCGCAGCTGCCCGCTGTGCGGCGAAAAGGTCCGGTGGGAGAAGTCTTCGGTCTGTGTGGGTGTAATAGTGGGATCAGGTCTCACGGGGCTAGCATTGATCCACCGCCCGTTTGGAGGCACGAGCTTGATCAAGAATCTGGCGCCGCTGAGGTGGTTGTGGGATAAGAGCAGCTTGGGCGACTTGACGGGTCCATTCCGACCCAAAGGATCAGCTCTTTGGCGAAGCCGTGGGGAATTTGCCTCCCTTTTTCGGGGGCCGGTGTCACCCCGTTGCGGTGCTTCGATTTTCAACAGTGAGATCTTTTGTGGGGAGGCTTAGCCGGCTTCTTTGCTGGTTTTGTGTGAACTTATCATTATGCAGCTTTCGGATTTTCTGCCATCATGGCCTTTGACTCACGAAGTTCACTCCTTTTAAACTTTACGTCCTTTCCCATCTGCACACTGCCTCCTTCACTGCCCTTCTCCCTCGTGCCTTCTCGCCCCGCACGCAGAAGGCACTCCCAGAACCTGTGGCGAGAGGTTCAAGTTCTGTTTCTGGATCCCATCTCATGGACCAATGTACACAACCGAAAAAATGAACGCGATTACCCAGCACCAAACACCATGTTGGATAGCTGTTGGATGTGTTTGTTTGACCATGTTGGACGGTTGGAGGGGGGTGCTGACTTCACCCCCACATGGACTTCATGAAATTGGATGAAATTGGAGCTAAAACGTGTCGTGGGCAAAAGAAAACACGTTCCAAACACTTAAAACCATGCATCCAATCCCCTAGCCGCCTAGCCTTTACAAACCACACTTTGAATCATGGTTCATTGACCTGGTTTTGTAGTGTAGTGCGGAAGTATATATAAATTACATATATCATCATAAATCAATGGTGGGCCACGAATCTTCCGGAATCCATCGCACTGTCCCACCATCTGCGCAGAATAACCGAACAAGACTCTGAACAAGCTTTTGCATCTTTTGCATAGGACAGACCGAAGCGATACGATTGGTTCGGTCTGAGGCCATCGACAGACCAAGATCACAGAGAAGCTGGTCAAGAAGTCCAAGGACCGCCTGCTGACAAACACTTCACCGCGCTGAAGGGCGCGCTGAAGGTGCGAATAGAAACAGCACCGAAAAGGGCCTAACCAGGATAAGCCTGGGGGCTGTTGGGAGAGCCACCTACAGGGTGAAATCTCAAGGGCTCAGCTTGTCCTACGAGCCGAATCACTTGAGTATGAACATGTTTCAAGGAGACGTCCTCATGACTTGACCACATGCTTTGATATCCAAAGAGCTAGGAAGGTTGGGACCTGTGAAAAGCTATAGAAACTATCCTGGTTCTTGATTAAAACCCTCGCCTCTATGTGTTGAAGACCGTTAAGCGAGTAAGACCCTCTATGTACACTTAACCATACTTGAGGTCACTTATTATATAACCATACTTCACCTCTGTTTGATTCTGATCATTTGGTGTGATATTTGCTCTACATGTCCATCATGGTTCCTGCTCCAAAATCGTCGATCACACAGAAATTGCATTAAGATGCAGTCTTAGATGGTCGATCGATAAACCTCTCTTAGTCACATACTCTATCTCCAAAACGCCTAAAGATCAGTAAAGATCCCAGCATCCATCTGCTCCCAAACAATTCTTGAGAGTTTCATGGATCGATCATGATAGATCTACCCTCCATCTGGATTTCTCCCCACCTGCCACAGAAACATCGACCGCTCCTCTTCTTAAAGAGCTCCAAGCCAAAGGTGAACATCGGAGTGCAAGAGGACTCGGTGCGAGACACATCCACAAGGAATCTCTCTCAAGTCCTCAAGTCGATATGTTTTTCTTCATGGCATGTAGATGGTGCCTGGCACTGTGGCACTGAGTGGTGTCCAAATAGTATACATGAATAGTCGGCGATTCGAGTTCCAAGTTCTCGATGGAGGATTCGATTCACCCAAGTCTTTCGGAACAGAGTCACTGTACCTGTCAATCATCACATGTGGGATACCGACTAGCCATCACCAGGTGTTCCCCCTGTTTGTACAGAATAGCAACAGAAGATTCGGATGTGTCATGATGTGTCACATCCGGTAGTAAGCGGAGTAACACCCATCTTCCGCTTCGAATTCAGCGGCTTACGGCCTGGATTCTCCGGTTCTCCACATGTAGACGACGAATGCCCACTACTACATAGCACATGAAAAACTCCTGGACTGTCCAAAAGGTTGACGAAGGAAGAAAGAAATAGGAGTCCGTGTCTTGTCGCACCAGCGCTGGCGCAGTGCACAGCTTTTCTTCACTGTCCCTACTTTGAAGCATATCTATGCATACATGCCCATGCCATGCCCTTCTTCTCAAGCACATCCAAATCACTGGACTTCACCATCCATCACTGAGACTTCGCACCACCATCGACACAAAGGCAACGCCTGCACCGACCCCGACCAGGTCGGTGGGTCCGTTCGTACGTTCGGTTTCACGACTTCGGACAGGTGCCACGATGGTTCTGTTCGCATTTGCAGGCCCCTGGGCTATTTGCAGGAGCTGATGTATCGACATGTCTGAAAAGGTGATGTATCCCCTGGGCTAGTTACCTTAGTATTCCAAACTCAGATTTGAGGTGAAGACGCTATTGGTTTTGAACAAGAGGGATTATGTAAACGTCCGAGTCGATTTGGAGTGATTTGGAGTGATGATTTGGAGTGGCGAGGAGGGACTGTGGAAAAGGTAGCAAAATAAAACAAAATCAATCAAAAGAAGCACAGATCCATAAGTCTAATTAAGAATGTCTAAGAGCAAGCTTCAGCTGTTCCCAAAATGAACATCGGCTTGTCTTGTTGAAGACCACCAAGTTCTCCCCTCTTCCAGTAGTGGATGTCTATCGATTCACAGCTTCCAATTTCTCCGAAGGTTTTCGTTTGGCAGTTGAAACGTGAAACATCGTGAAACGGTTTCTAGAACCACATGAGTATTGTAACAAGTAGATCCAAACAATCAGGAGTTCAAAGGGTCATCCATGAAGGACCGCTTAGAGATTTGATTCAAAGGGTCACCCATGAAGGACCACTTGGAGACTTGACGAATTTCTTCTGCGGAAATGTCCATCCAATCCCAAACCTCTGCCACCGAACCCGGGCCCTCTTTGGCCGCCCGCCAAACACCCACTGCCGACCTGTCGTGCGCTGCTCCACACCTGAGCTCCCCCTCCACCCTCCGCCCGAAGGCCTCCATAGAGGAGTGCCGTGTTGTTCGTCAGCAGGGACGCGCCGTTCACCACCTCGGGCCGAGGCGCCGGGTCGAAGGGCAACGGCAGAGGACCTCGAAGGGGCCGAGGTCCGAGGACCGTGTTCATGGTTCTGGACGATTCCTGTGAACAAACATTCATTTGATTCATCTGAGTAGATGAGTTATGATGAGTTACATTGGATCCCCATCTAAGATCTGCAAATACACAATATATAGCGTTGTTCTGCTGATCTGGAAACGGACACTCTGGAAACATGACGGAAGAGAATTGCATTCTAGCTGGTTTGGGATTTCACTCGTGCTGACCATGTTGGTCAGTGCGTCATCCAGAAATGACCAAACAACTTCAAAACGAACCGCTGGCATCTCCAAACCATTCTGAACTGAGGATGGTTCTAGGTGAAAAGACTTTGCACAACTGATGATCTTATTGTATATATGATATGATACGATCAACTACAGTAGTCCATCCAAGCAAAGACATGAACAAACATGGACTAGGATCATCCTCTCTGTCCTGTATGGATCTCCACGAAGCCAAGTGATAGGGTAGTCTAGCAAGGTGATCTGTGTTTCATGATCCACGCGAATTACAGGGAATCGTTTCGCAATTCGCCCTACAGTCACACGCGGTGAAACACACGCGGTGTTTCAACAACAACGCTTGGCCGGATGAACTGGTGTACCAAACGGTGCCCTGGTGTCCAGTCCCAAACTGGTTCCACCCGGGTCCCACGATCCCCACTGAGATGGGTAGCACCAGCAAAGCCTGGCGACCGCCGCGGACGTGTGGGGGGCGCGCGCAGGACGTGTCCGTGATCGCGTGTCCGGGCCAAGGATCCTCTCCACCGGCCCCCAAAACCAAAAATCACGGTCTTCACGTACAAAAACCGTGTTTTTGCTGGGGAAAACCAGGCTTTTTGGATGGTTTGTGGGATTTTGTGGGGCCCCTGGTAGCATATTGTTAGTGAAGAGGATGATCTGGACATCTCTGGACATGTTTTGTTTGGGCAAAATGCTCAGCTTCCTCCCGATCCGCCTTCCTGAGAGAGAACACACCTTCCTTGGACACAAAAGGGGTCCTTTCGCCCCATTGCTTCCAGGAACACCTGCTCCTTTCTCGTTTGCTAGCAGCTCAGCACGGGGTCGGTCGTCCATCGAACCGACAGCAGCACGTGGCACGAAGGATGTCCGTCGTGCCGTTTCGGCGGGGAACGTGCGGTTCGGCGCCTCCTCAAGCCGAGGCCGTTCGAAGCAGCACGCAGCCAAGGAGGTGCAAAACATGTGCACCCTGAAGGGTCGCGGCGACCAGCGACGGGCGACTCACGGCACAACGGCTGGCTTGGCTAGCCTGATCTTGGAGTTACTTCAACCGGGAACAAAGTATCTTCCCCAGAAGGGGATTTACCCATATTTAGGGAAAAAGATCATCCAAAGCAACCCAGGTTATTGCTTGTCAGTCTGACTGGGTAGAATTGCTCTCGGGCCCAGTGGATGGTGGGATGGATGCTGTGCAGACTGCAGCTGGGGGTGCAAATGTCCCATGTTCTCTCTGATCCGAGGAATGTTTTTTTTTTCTCCGTCAGGCAGAATATCGCAGCATCCAGCTGAGGTCCAGCTGGTTTGTGAACCCAGTTGTGTCTCCACTCCCCCAGCATGGTGAGGCTATCTGGGACTGGGTGAGCTATCCTGACGAAGCGGAACAGACCTTTTGCGGCAGCCAAGGTTGGAAAGAGCAAAACCCTCAGCAAGACCCTCAAATCTGGGGAGCTCTTTTTGAGCTGATCTGGATGAACCAACAGCCAACTCCGGAAACGAAAGATACATCTTCTCCCTCTCCCTCTCCGCACCTGGGACATCCATGCACTGTGGAGTGGGGATCTTCACGTTTTCCGTTCGTACACTTCACGTTTTCCCATCGGCACTCCATGGATTTTCGAATCACTCTGCCAATTGGGTCATATTCCATTGGAGTTACTTGGAACTTATGTCTACAACGAGTCTTTGGGCGCTGCAGCCCGGGGTTCCGCCCCATCCTCCGGTCTCATGGAGGGTCAAGCTGGGCCGCCCGGGCGCAGTGATGGAGTCGGGGTACTGGAAGCCAGCATTCATGGTCTCCTGGTATGGATGTATGTGAGAATATGCTTAAAATTGATCTGTTACAGTATAAGTCAGTATAAGTGTGATAAGCATGCTTTGTTCAGGACATATATGAGACATTACAAGACACATGATATGTTGCAACAAATTGACTCTAGCTCATAACTTTAATGCAGAACAAGCACGACGATCTACGACTATATATGCTATGTGATGATCCTGCCCAAACGCACGCAACAAAAAAGGAACAACACGGATGTTCTCAGATTGGCAAGTCCTTGACCCACATCTTCACCAAGGATAAGCAGGCCAAGTAGATCACCACCTGAAGTTTTTGGGTCCACAGATGATCCAAGCCCACACCGCCAGGATTGAGAATAAAGCCTAAGCAGTTGGAACGATTCCGAGGTGGCCATGAAATATGGAAATGTGTTTTGCCTATGCCAAAGGATCCAGTTACCACTGTGACCGATGGTTCCAAATACCAAAGCTATAACCCCTAGAAACTCTGGTTCCTTATTATGCAGTGGCAACTGCGATCAACTTGTGGGATCAGTTTAGGGCAAGACATGGCCAAACCTAGTGCCAGTATGACTTTGTTATTGAGCTATATATCACAGGATATCACAGGTGTGACTTCTGCTTATACCAGTCCCTCTTGTGGCAAAACCTTTCACGTGATTCGGGTCATCCTCGAAGCCACAAAACAAACACTCCATCAAAGGTAAACAAACGACAAGACGTGACGGTGGTGACCAATCGACAAGACCGGGTTCGAGCGAGAGGACAAGATCTGCAGTTCGTTGGTGGAGATCCAGGAAGCACTGAACGTGCCTTCATGAGATCCAAATATGGATTTGCAGCTGCGGAGCATCATAGTCATAGTCCATACACGAGGTATATCATATCAGTAAACCTGTAACCGTGAATGATCGTTGCAAGCCTTTCTCGAGAGTAGTGATAATCGTTTAGCGACTGTTCTGGGCAACACCCTCTCCATACTAATCTGCATGTGAATCTTGAAAGTCTACCCAGCGGAAGTGAAGTTTCTTCAAGTCTACGAGTCGTCTATAGTCTAGTCCGATCTTGAAACTATAGGCGGATTAATGACTGCAACTCTGGGCACCATGTGAAAAATCCTGAGAATCATGAAAAGTCTTGCTGGAATTCGAATTTGCTGGAATGGTCAACGTCTAGAACAGTGAAGTCTACTCCCCAGATTGACATGGCCACGTGACTACCGGGGCAAATCGAGTCATTTGGAAGTTCTAGGCTTGGAGGGGTCAACTTCAATCTCGACGGATTGGAAGAGATGGATCTTTGTTGGATCATGTTGGATGTGGTTTTCCATAAACTCTCTAAAAGGATGATTTTGCACTGATCACCTTGACACGTTGACAAAAATGCAAAAAACAATCGATTCTGTGATATTCCGTGGAGCTCCAGTGACCAAAAAGCAGGAACCATGTCATATCCTGCACGTACATTCAGCACCTGTTCCGAAATCTCCTTTCCCCAAAAGGCTCCCAACTGGGCATCCCAGCAGTGCAGAAGGGCCGAAGGCCCTCTTTCAATCCAATGGGGCCTCGGTTAAGGCACGGCACGTCATCTGCGAGTTTCTGCATGCTGCGGAGGTACAAGGCAGGCACGTCGCTGTTGATGGATAAAGTTTCTATGTACAAAGGAGAGCAAAAGAACGTACTGATGGCAACAAATACATAAACTCTCTGTTGATGGCAACCACCTGATACATCCTGATACCAATTGATTGTTGTGGAAGGTATCAAATGATGACTTAGTATGACAAAACGTTCATAAACGTTCCTGGTGTAAGTTTAATCCGATTTGCTTCAGGGTGGATGCAAAAGAACGTACTTTTGTTCTTGCGGTTGATTATGTGGTCTACCTGTACAAACAAGTGGCCGGTAGAGATCCAGAACTGGAGCTACAGCCTTTAGAATAACTCTGTTTGCTACTGCTAACGCTGCTGTTGCTGTGGTTGCTGTCGGTGAAGTTTCCGGTTCAACGGGTGCAGGTGAAGTTTCCCCACCGAGTAGACCTGCAAGAGGAGAAGTAGACCAATTCAATCGGATGTGTCATCAACGAACCACCCACGTTTCATACTCCAACTCTGGGATGTCCACTGATTGCGATCAAGATCATGACCTCGGGCGGTTCAGCAAGCGATCACTGAGTCTGAAGATTGACTCATGCTCACTTACCATGTGTGTATGATGTGTGCATGATGTAGCGCTGGAAGCGATGAGGGATGTTGCCCTACCCATAGACTGTTTCTGTGGAGACAGCGTGCCGTGCACTCGGACGGAGACGTTGCAGTCTTCGACCAACGACCTAACGAGGTCACCTTCGGGCCTGAGTTGCCTTCGGGTCCGTCGCTCTCGATGCCGAAGGTTCACGAGGCCAAGGGCCGTCTCGATGGTTCGGTGCGGCTGAGTTCAGGCCGCCGAACTGCGCCGCCGACATGCGTGGAGTGCGTGGAGTGCGCCGTGGGGCATGGAGACCTCTGATCCCTGAGAATCCACTCTGCAGGCGACTCGGTCGCAAGCAGTGTTACAAACTGGTCCAAAAGGGTTAACTGAAGCATAGTTGGATCCAGATGGAGGATTTAGGGATATTTATAGATATATTTAGTAATATGGCTGGGAGTCAACACAGGACCTTAGTTGAACATCCCCAAAGACCAGAAGAGACTAGCAGGGATGTGAACCTTCCATGGCTGGGTTGGTGGGGTGCTGCGCTTGCGGACACGATCCATCCTTCTCCGGCCCCCCACCCGTTGGTCTAGGACCGGGTACAGAAGGGGATTTTGTACACCAGAATGGAATCCAAGCGATATGTAAAACACACAGCAGAGAAAGCCTTCAAGAAAACACAGTGAATCAACACACAGCAAAAAGCAAATCGACACGAATGCACTACAATGCACAACACTCCGGTCTCCAATGATATGTGTCGCACGGTTAAGCCAATGCATGCCAATGCGAGGGTATATAATTATACTAGATGCATGACTCGTTCATTGATGTTGAAAGATGGGGGGTAGCTGACCTATGGCTTTGTGGGAAGAACAGTTCTTGAGCCACTGCCATTATAGTACTGAAGTGATCCCCAAGGAGAAAAGCGAATGCTCAGAATTTCAGGTCGTCACCGTCGATAGCCCATCGACTTCCAAGCTGGATCAAGCTTTACTGCCCAAGGAACGACTAAGGAGTAAACAGCACGCCAACTCTGCTCCACGGCCTAGGCAGTTCACTTTCAAACACACCCAAGTGAGTCAAGGGTCTTGCGGGGGTACTGAAGAACACCACTGAGTTCACAGGGTCAAACCCCAAAATCAGCTTCATTGATGGTTCGCTTCCCAAAGAGCCAAAAAGGGAGTGATCATGAGTGATCAACCTCCAAACCTCTAAAACTCTGAAGAAATCCAATACCAACATCACAGAACCACTACCACTGCCCCGTGGCCATGAGATTCCGGCACAGAGATAAGAACCGGATAAACTACTGTACGGTACTGCATCCCGAGGTCCTGCTCTTCCTGTTTGGTTTGTTCGGTTGATGGAGAAGGTTGAGATATGTTGAGATCAAGAAGAAAGTACATCCGCCATTCAGGTTGAGGTGTGCTGCCAACTCGAGAATACAATTCAATGAACATGTCTCTATATTTGCAAGCCTTCTCTGTCCGAGTAGTTCAAAAAATCCTCCTCGCGCTGTGACTCACTTTGTGTCACAAAGTGGCCCAAACCCCGTGAGGTATATAATATACTCAATTCCGCAAAACGTCCAATCTGCCCTCAACATGAACAGAATCTACATGAATGACATTGAAGTCTTGGAACCCAACAGTTTTCGTCTTCCAGCTGAAACCACTGGCTGCAACCACCGTCTTCGGTCACAACTGGACCCGAGTTCGATGACCATCGCGAACGGAGAGGCGAAGTACGATGTCATGGCGTCCAGTTTTGGTGGCTTGAGGAAGGCTGTGACTGGCTGCGAAACCCTGTTGCACTCCGTTCCGAAGCGAAGCGCCTGTGACTGGAAGTTTTGTGGGCCAAGGGGTTGAACCCAACTAGTAACAAGTGCATCGCTACTAGTAACAAGTGCCTTACTACTAGTAACAAGAAGCTACTAGGAGCAAGATAGCAAAGAGAATTAAATTAAAATAATAGTTTCTTGTTACTACGAGTAAGGCACTTGTTACTACTAGCGTGGCACTTGTTACTACTAGCCTTCATAGCAAAGTGGTTGAACCGGTTCCATCAGATCCAACTACCTCACGGCTTCGGTGGAACCAGCGGAGACGCTGTGCAAACGGCCGACGTGGCGGACCTTTTTGGACGGCACCAACGAGTCGTTGCCCCGACACGGCCAGCAACGAGTGGCAAAATCTGAAAGAAACTGAGAACTATGTTTGAATGTGTTTGAATGCCTTAATTATATATATATGCCATTTTTAAACCAGCATAGACCCAGATAGCTAGGCAGCATCCCACGACCTGTTGACATGCAACTGGCTGGAACAAGAATGTACACAGCCTGCACGCACAGCCAGCTTACGGCGCCTCCACAGCGCGCGCAACCAGCTGACACCAGCACCGGTGCGCTTTGCCAGCTGACACGGGGGCGGCACCAGCACCCGACCAGCACCGCCGCCCGTCTTATACGCGCGCTCAGCCACCAGCACCCAGGACCGCAACACCAGCACCAGCACTGACACCCCCTCGAAAGCGCGCGCAGCCAGCTCATTCTTATTAAGTTCGCAGTAAGAACCCCATAGCTATCCCTAGTGTGCTCTTGCGCGTATAAGTTTATGCGCACAAAAGTTTGCGCGCAAACAGCAAAGCCCGTAAGTGTCATTGGCCCAAGGCCAAGCAGTATCCAGCGCCAATATTGCCTTTGTAGCACGCTTGAAGCAACGATCTGTAGAACAATAGGGCCGTATGATCTTGCGCGTAAAAGTTTATGCGCACAAAAGAGTGCGCACAAACGGCAAAGCCCGTAGGCTTCACTCGCCCAAGGCCAAGCAGTATCCAGCACGACTATTTTGTGTGTAGCAGGCTGAAACATGCTGAAACAATGGTCGGTTGAGAGCCTGACGTTGCGCATAGAACAGTGTACGTACAAAGTATGCGCGCAAACAGTACAGCCCTTGACAGCACCAGCGCCAGCACCGGCACCAGCAACCTGTCTCCACCACGCGCAGCCTGCTCACAGCACCATCACCGGCACAGGCACCCGGCCAGCACCGGCGCCCGGCACCAGCACCAGCAACCTGTCTCCACCACGTGCACAGCCAGCTCACAGCACC